ATTCGGAATTGACATGGAAATATCAAAAACGTTCCAGCGCACGCTGACAAAGCAAGGAATGAAATTCCTTCTCAGTACAAAGGTTTATACCCGTTACTTTTCTACTCTTCAAGAATTCTTTTTGGTAGTTCATCAGTTATCATTCCGTTTCCTGTAGTTCTGCGAGGCTTACCCGATTCTGTTGAAAGCATTCACTGTAATGTCGAAGGCGCTTTTAGATTTCGAGAAAGTTGGCGATTTCATTTCTTTCAAGGAGAGATCTGAGAATGCTAAATTAAGGTCGCTTTGTTTGTCATTAAAGTCCGCAAATTTTCTGCACAGTCAATTACTTGAGAGGCTCTAACAACAGATAGTTAGGAGGCATGATGTCGGGGAAGGTGGTGAGCGGGTATTCCAGACAAGCTTCTACGATTTCGTAGTTGCAGTGGTGGTGACTGTTTAGTCTTTTGCAAGTCGATTTCTACTGGAGCGAAAAGATTACAAAACTTTTTTCTAGTTTCCACACATTTTTGCAGGCTTAATACCTGTTGACATGTAATTTGGAAATTTTTAAGTCTCATCTATGAATTTAGGTAATGAGTGCTCAAAAGAATGGAGATAACATTAGCGTTCAAGTAGAAGGTGCGAAAGATGGCAAAAAGCAAACTGTAAGTTCTTGAGACTTTTACAGCGCTTTGTTTCGCATCATCCTAATGCTACCCTATTTAGCTGGATTGTGATGTACTTATGGTTTGTATTGGTCGACGTCCTTACACAAAGGATCTGGGAGCGGAAAACGTTGGCATCCAGCTTGATGAGAAGGGACGTGTGCCAGTAAATGAACGTTTCCAGACAAAGGTAATTTATCATTAGGGTTGCTTCTTAGAGGGGTTTTTCATTTTCTTGCTCTGTAAAAGTAGCACTGAGCGAGCTGATTGCCACTCTTGCATATCTTAGTTATAGGTTCCTTCAATATACGCAATTGGAGATTGCATCGCTGGACCTATGCTTGCCCACAAAGCTGAAGATGAAGGTGAGTAAATGAATACCATACTCTCTTCCTTGTATGTTTGAGGGTGAGGTTTGAAAGATTTCGAGCAGTCACGTACCAGCTTTTTTTGTGTGATCGAAGTATTCTTTACGACTTTGTCCTTTCTTGCTATTCCGTAAAGAATTCATAGCAGCTCTATTATCGTTCGGTAAAGTTTGCCTGTTTTCACTACCCCAACTTTGCCATTGTTATTTCGTGATGGTACTGCATTACTACCTTTCCTAATGTCGACTCATTCATAGGCATTCTTTGTGTGGAAGGAATCTGTGGTGGACCAGTGCATATTGATTACAATTGCATTCCGTCAGTTATCTACACTCATCCGGAAGTTGCTTGGGTAGGAAAACCCGAGGAGCAACTGAAACAAGAGGTACTTTTCATTCGTCCCCTGTTGATTTCACGGCTTTGTTCTTTGAGACGATTAGGGAAATATTTTACACTTCACTACTTGCAGAATGTGCAATACAAAGTAGGCAAGTTCCCATTTGTTGCAAACTCGCGTGCCAAGACGAACTTTGACACCGAAGGATTTGTGAAAATTCTTGCTGATAAACAGACCGACAGGATGCTTGGAGTACATATCATTGGACCGGTCAGTTTTTTTGACCAGGGAGTGTTAGCAGTCATGATGTACCAAATATCTCTTTGCCGGAGTGTTAGCCATTCAGTTCTCAAATTTTGCAATTTATTTCTCTAATGTTTGCTTGTAGAACGCTGGAGAAATGATTGCCGAAGGTGTCTTGGCCCTCGAGTACGGTGCTTCTGCAGAAGATGTTGCTCGAGTATGTCACCCTCATCCGGTAGGTCGACCGTCTTTTCTCTTATGCTCTTATTGAGACGGCTACTCGTTACTTTTGTCTCCTCTGCCGTAAATGCAGCTGCACACTGGTTATAACTAGTCTTCCTATCTTTTTCCCATCAAGTTAGGAGTGTTGTAGCTTGGTGTGCTTTGTAACTTTTTATTGTATGTACCTTACAAGTATCATTATTGCGTCCAATTCATTTCATGATTGCTTCGCTAGTCGCGCCGTGCTCTTGTATAGCAGCAAAACGGTCATTTAGGCCATTAGTCAGTATTCTTGCGAAAAATATGCATTTGTTCATTCTATAAATCCGTCGCCCGCATTTCCCCCACCCCTTCTGTTGAAAATTCGGTAGTTCTGATTGATATCAGTCTAACTATAATAATAGAAGGCTCGACGGACACCTTGTGGGCTAGGGGTAATACATACGTACGTTCTAAACCTGAGTAGCAGAGGGTGTATCGTACGCATCTCTTTCCTCTTCCAAAGAGCCAGGTTTCTTATTAGAAAAAAAGTCAGCCTTTTTTCGAGTCTTTTGCCGCCTCTTTCAAAGTATAGTTTAAAATTTGCAATTTTCCTTCGCACTTGATCGCTCCGGCGATCGCATGCTCTTCCTTGGTGGCTCTCTCCTTTAAACTAATGTACCTGTTATTCGAGTTCTATCCATTTCTCCCCGCTTCGGGCTTTGTTAGTTCTGATTTTCCTTTTTTCCAAAATGAAACCAGTCATTCAACCATGTGAGTCTTCCTCACTTCATGCTAACCTTGAACCTTGCTCAAATTGATATGAATAGCTTTCTTGTGAGGTGGGTTAGCAAGAAAAGGAAGGTTGATAACGGTTTATTAAAACCCTAATCCTAATTGATTCGAGAATAGTTTCCTCATTACTCATTTGGGGTAATACTCAAAGGTCTGAACGCTTTTTTT